TATATTAATGCAGTGTCCAACAAGTACAATAGTGCAACATGCTGTCTATAGACGAGCAAATGAAGGGCTAACAGTCCTAGCCTAGGGCAGCGTTATACACCCTGACAGCCGCCGGGAGGAAAGACCTGCGGAAACGTTCCCTTGAACACTGTAGCTGGAGCAGTCTGTTGCTAAAAGTGCTCCGCTGTCTACTAACCGTCCCATGTAGCGGATGAGAGACATTATTCATGATGGCTGTGACCTTGGTCAGCATTCTCCTCTCAGCCACCACCTCCAGGGGGTCAAGGCTCAGCCCCAAAACAGAGCCAAAATAGCCATTTCTTAATAGACCCCCCAGAATCAGCTTCATCAGAATGATAAGCAGGTGTCAGGAGGAAAGACTTTTCCTGTTCCTATTGCATTCAGTCCTTGCATTGAGATGGTTGTCAGTGAAAACCCAAGACATTGCAGCTCCAAATATACTAGATTAACAAGTGCTGTTTCCAGTTCTCTGTCAATAGAGTCAAGAGCAGGTTAGCTGCTTGCGAATAAGACCTGCACACAACTATGAGAGCACAGCCAAGTTGAAAATTACAAAAGGAAGGGACACTCGGAGATGTCTTGTTTTGCTTTGGCTTCAGCCTAAATAAAAGAGGGGTAGAAAAAAATCTAATAAGATGCTGTTCGGGCCATTTCTTGAAGGCAAAACAACTTGTGTCTCTGTGTTACAGGTGAAGGCTTTCACAACTACCATCACACGTTTCCTTTTGATTACTCCACCAGTGAGTTTGGCCTGAGATTCAACCCCACCACCTGCTTCATCGATCTGATGTGCTGGCTGGGCCTGGCCAGTGACCGCAAGACAGCTTCCCCACAGATGATTCAGGCCCGCAAAAAGAGAACTGGCGATGGCAGTGCCTGAAGAGACCCTCGAAAGGAAAAGAATAAGGCCTTATGCTCTCTTTAACAAAAAAAAGGCAAAAAAAAATCAGACATCGCGATATTTTAGGAAAGCTAGTCTTCAGAAGCTCTTTTCAGGGTGGCTGTCTTTTTTCCCCTTCCCTCCTTTCAAATTTGTTTTTCTTTGCTAACAGCATGCATTTTAAAATGTTTTTATTAACGAGCATACCATTGAAAATGAAAGCATTTAATCTGTGTGCTCAAAATCCCATTCAGGATGAAACTGTCAATATAACCTTGTGTGTATTATTTTAAAGAAAGTTTTGTTTTCTACAGCTGTGTGCGCAAAGCTTTTTGCCGAATTGTGAGATCAGGAGTTTTTAATTGAGATAGTTCTGGGGGACTGATAGTGACATCAGCTCTCCTTCTTACTGGCCCTGAGATACATTATGCACTCACAAGTGGCATGTTTCATTAGGCTTCAGGGTAGTTGATAAGAAGGCTCTCTGAAGTCACAACAGCAACTTTAAAAGACCCTTTTTTTAACCAGATTCTTGAAATCAATTTTTCCAGGCTCTGGACAAAAGATCCAGGTCAGTACTGCAGGTTTTTCTTTTTTTTTACTGAAAGTTGACACTCTTCAATAGAAATGTGTACTTTTGCCTCAGTTCCCTAGAACCACCTACATTCATATGCTTAAATTACAAGACAAACAAGAGCATTTTCCTCTGCAACATATTAAAGCAAGAGAATTTTCATGTTAAAGCAAAATCATTACTGTATATATTGCTTGCTCTACAACTGTGGCCTGGATTCTCCAGTAGTAGCGCTAGATTGGTTGAGTGCCTCTAGGATATAGTGGGGAGATTTTGCTAAGTAAATAGCAGCATTAGGTGTGGAGCTGTTTAATTTCTCTGTTCAGCACCAAATGTTCCTGTCTTGAAGCAGTGGTCTGGCAGCTGTTGTGCACATAGATTCCCGTTATTTTCAATATATCAGTTTGGAAGAGCTCAAAATCAAAATCAAAGTTAAAAAATTAGTGGCCAATTACGAGTTTGGAGACCAAAATAAGCAAATACAATTCTGTGTATTCTGCATTCCATCCAGAATTGCATCACTTCCCAGGATAGGCTCCGGCTCCCCTGTTACCCTGTATTAGATAAAGCAGTTAGAAGGTTGATGGATGGATTTCCCATTACTACAAACGTTTTAGGGCCTACGAAGGAGGGAGACACTAGTGACTTACGAAAAATGAGCTGAAACAACATACACTATCTAGCGGCTGTTCTAGAAACTAGAAGTATCGAAGGGATGGTTGCTCG